CATACGTCATGCCATAAACATTGCTTAAATATTACCACAGTTTATATAACACTAGATGGTACACTTTTCAATTTACTGACAACTCGAACCTATCTCAATGCAATAGGCCCACATATGAGAAATAAATTATTTTACAACATACTTCAACATATTTTAAATAATTATTGTAAAAAAAAATATGACAATGTTAATGATTTTGGTGAGAGTGGTAAATATCAGTGATACGTAGTTAATAGTTAGTCATTTTAAATAAATTCTTATTTTCCCTATTCGTAACCGCAGTAATTTGAAGTTAATTTTACCTTTTTACATTTTTGAAAATAACATGTCCCAAATAGAGAATGCAAATTCTGGTTTTATATAATCTAAGATTTGAGTTGAGCGATACTCAATGTATTTTTATGAGCAATGTGTATAATATAATGTAAAATCAAATTACTTACGCATGCATTTGTGTGCACGTTTGAATTCTAAATAATTTAATGATTAGTATAATATCTGATACAAAATAATAGAAATTTAAATGAACGTCAATACTGCTAACAAACGTACAACGTACATTTGTACAACATACCCAAGAAGTGTTCAAAAAAACCATTTTAGATTCTGAGCGGAGCGATGAATGTATTGATTTTACAATGATGTTTTTTTTGTGTCTGTCATCATATTTTGAGGCAATAAGAGTACTTCTATTTTCTTCGACTTCATCTTTCCTGATCGGAAAGTGAATGTAGTAAGTACTTAAGGGGATCGGTTGCTGTTTACAAAAATTTTCAATTTTCAAATTGTTTAGTTTTTATCTTTTTATGTCAACACAATTGTATTTGTTTTGTCAAAAACGTAAAAAATATAAAACAAAGTCCTTGATGTATTTTTACAATATCAGATGATGAAAAATCAAAATTCATATATACGAATTTCTTTTATAAGCCTTGACAATTCACAAATTATTTTGTAGTTTAATATTTCTAAAATGCTCAACTTTTATAGCCAAATATCAAAAATAATAGCCAAGAATAATGAAGCAAGTTTTTTTTGTAATCCAAAAATATTATCCATGGGGACCTACTTGAAACTTTAAGAGTATATGATTATAATTTATACACACAATGACTTTTAAAATTAAATTTTTTAGCAAATATGAATTTGTACTAATGCTTAATCGTATATTAAATTACCTGAATCACAATAATATCATCAAATACTAATTAAATTACTTAGTAATATTATGGACTGATAGACTGCTTTCAATCAGAATCGTTTTTCGTATGGTTTTATATCATTGTGTTCAAATTCAACACCATTCGTTACAGTTACCCACTTGTATCAAACTGTGCAGCAGAGTGACATAAACTTACCAGCTCTTTTTATAATTTTCAATGTTATTATTAGCCCTAATATTTTGGCTCCCTTTAAGCTGTTGACGGAAATTTTCAGTTTTCCTTTTTTTAATTTTTAATTTTATAAATGTCAATTAAATTCTATTGGTTGTGACAAAGAGCATGAAAATTGAATGCAAGACTCTTGATATTTGTGACGATAGCAGTTAAAAAAAAATTAAACTACATAGGCACGATTTTTTTTATAAGTATTTAAAGTTTAAATGTTGACAATTTTATCAAATGGGAAATTGAAAATTATTTGTAGTTAAAAATGTATAACATTTTCAAATTTTATAGCTAAGGATTGAAAATTTAAAACAAGGTTTCACTTTTTGTGAGTTTTTCGTCAGTTTCTTTCTAAGATTAAAACACCTAAAAAATATACGAATACAGTTATTTTTTTTAGACATTTTAAGTTCAAATTTGGATGAGATTGAATATTAACACAAATAATAACGTTTATCATTTTGTTGTAATTTGGTTCCAAAAGACCCCAATTTTACATAGGTATATTTAATATTTTTCCAGCATCACTGATAATTTAAGAATAATATTAATTCAACTTACTGGCCACCATATTTATAATTAGTGATAAGTGATAACAATATAAAATATCCTAGACTGACATTCCGTCTCCACTCAGAATCGTTTTCGTGTACAATTATATGATATCATTAAATTCAAAGTTAATAAAATCCATTACAGCGACCTCCTAGACACCAAATGTACAACAGAGCGACATCCACTTACCAGCTTTTTTTTGTAAAATTCTCCAAAAATATTAAAAGGGGGTTCCTCATAATATGAAAAAAAATATTTTAAAAATACTCACGTTCTAATGGTGTATTTGCTGCACATATATTTCCAACCACAAAGAACATGAAACATATAGATAACATATTTATAGGTTTAGCCATGTTTGTAGGTACTAACAAAAGATTAATAATATTGAAAGAGTTGAAATTAAAAAAGTAAGAATTGTAATACTAGTTGACCAACAACGTGCAGTATTTAAAGGGTTATACGTTATACTACAAACAAAAAACAAAAATGTGTGTAAGAGATACACAACTGAATACACAATTGAAGGGAAATAACGGTAGGTAAATAATGTTTGGTTGTCTATATAATAAGTACTGTACGGTTTATGTTTAAAAAACTACCTAAATATATGCATTTTTCAAAAGTGGATTAAAATAATTTATTATTACAGTTTTATTCTAGAGCAAGACAACATACACTATCTCGCTGCAATTTTAAAATATAAAAAGAACCTTCTAACTTCTACTGCAGTATCCAACTAGAAAAATAATGTTGAGCAGAGTGGTAGCATTTTGCCGATTTTGTTTATGTACATTTTTAAAATATATTATTTAATAATACATACTATTGTAGCGATCAGCATTTATGCCGATGATATAATTAAAGTCCATTTCGTCTACTAAGTCATACTTAAATGATGCTGAAATGGTTGATATTTCCTTATTCTATGTAGTTCTTAGATAATTTTTCAGCGACTTTATAATTTAGCATATTATATCTCAGATATGTTGCGATTGTAATTGGTGATGTGAGCGTAATCCTTAATTCCATTTCAACATCACGTACATACATTCAAATTTATACATTTTATACATATTCAGCTTCACATTATATGGTTACCTAAGAGGACGATACATTGAGAAACTAAGTACTATCCGAAGTTTAAAACAAAAAATAGATTTCTTACATTATTGAATTGCTATAAAAACAAGAACCTGTATATTGTAAAAATAAGTGAACCAACTGCGAAATATTGTAATGCCTTAAAAAAAGGTAAACAAACACTTGAGTCGTTTTCTTTCGGTTTGATAATTTTATTTTTATTTTATTTTATTTTATTTTGTGCAAAATACATTCACATGTGTATGTCCGCTAATACATTTCGATCAGAACAAGAAAAATAACGTGTGAAGTAATTATTTAAAATTTTAAGTTAATATTTCATATAAATATTATAATATCATTTTAAACTATAAACGATTCTGGGCTAAGATAGTCTATCAGCCCATACTTATAAGAATACAATTTTTAAATTACAATAAAAAATTATAATAATGATTCTCAGTATAAATATATAATTTCCTACGATTGTGAACTTAAAAATATTTTGTTTCTTAAATTATACGTTTAATTTCGTGTACCTATAATTTTTTACTTATGTTGTTCTCGCTGCGACAGAGCTTACGATATATCTGCAGTTTTCTGCCGCAACTTGCATCGATGGTATACAAGGACCGGGTGACCAACTTATGAATATATATAAAAACAAATGCTCAGGTTCCAATATAATAATATCACTGCCCACGCCTAGCGCACAGGATATATATATTACATGTAAATTATATGTGAACAAAGACGTAATAATAATAATATGCGGGCGCCCAACGTATTTGAATACAAAATCATAAAATATAAGAATAATAATTGGGCGTATAATAATACAAATTCCTGGTATATGCGCTTATAATATAGTAATCTTCAATGCCACAAGTATATAAAAAAATGTATATAATAAGAATTTAATAATAATAATAATTGGGCATTATGGTAGTAACATACAACTAATACAGCTTTACTGGCCACTAAACACGAGTTGGACAAGAAGTGTGAATACAGTAAAAATATAACCTGAAGGCGACAGCACTGGATGATCTAGGCGATATGGCCCTCTGACGCAGACGACGACTGCAGTTGACGATGGCAACCTTAGCTGGGCATACTCGATGACAGTTCAAAGTGGCAAAATTGACACCTCATGCTCACATGAGGTTTCGTATGCGACACGCAAACGTACACGGTGATCGAGCACGTTGCTCACAGATCAACCGTTGGGAAAAGACAAAAGCGCCGGGCTGTCTAGCGGCTCGGCCATCGGCTGATGAATTGTCACCAGACAGCGGAGGGGGGAGCTTGCCGGATGCAGCTTATCTTTTGCCACACCTGTGATATCCCGAGGCGACAATATATATAATTTGCCAAAGGGAAAAACCGTTCCGCGATCGAACATCCTCCCCGCCGTGAGAGTCATCTCACACAAGACTTGACTTGAGAACGGGAACCGGTGTCCTTGATGAAATATGAATTGAGCCGCTCGTAACAGTACTCACAATTTGACCAACATCGTGTCAGGGACTTACATTTTTTTTTTTTCCAATAAAACCTCAATACCCAAAATAATAACGATATTATAAATAAGATACATAAATAAATAACATAATACAATAATACATGTCAAAAGTACATAAATATACTGCAAGCAATAAATCAATAAACACATTTGAATAATAGAATAAATATAATAATAAAATGGTCCTCACGTAGTATGGTTCCCCCAGGTGATTCAGTGAGCACAACAGGAAAAGAAACAAACAATTTAAAAAAACAATAGATTCAAATGACCATACACAACTACAAAATTAATATTAGTAATAACAATTAATAGTATAGGTAAACAAAAGAGAACGCGGTGCGTTTAGGACACCCGCCAGAGCAATCAGTGCTTCAGTTTATAGGATAGTGCCAACAAGATAATAAATAAATAATTATGTAGTAAAAAAGTATTAAAATTTATGCATTTTAATTGACCAGCTGATCGACGGGCAATAATACCAATTTGACTGCCGGGCGGGTGATTTGACCAGTACTAGTCAGAACTCGCGCAACACGAACGGTGCTGTCGGCCCCCGGCAATACTTCCGTTATACGGACAAGTCGCCAACTCAACGGAGGACATTGGTTGTCTATCACCACGACCATATCATTAATTTTTAAATTAGGTACGCTACCAGACCATTTCGACCGTTGTTGGAGGGTGGTCAAGTATTCATTTGACCACCGTCTCCAGAACGCTTGGTGGCATTGATCAACTAACTTCCAACGGTCGCGAACATTACGTACATTGTCGGGAGTTGATCTAGGGGGAACTGTAAGCAACGGCTGGCCTATTAGAAAATGGCCCGGAGTTAGGCAATCTAAATCGTGTGGATCATTCGAAGCGGGAGTTAAGGGGCGTGAGTTGAGGATGGCTTCGATGCGGGACAAGATTGTAGAAAATTCCTCGAACGTGAAAACATGGGTGCCAATTATGCGGACGAGCAACCGTTTCGTCGACCGCACGGCGGCCTCCCATAACCCGCCGAAATGGGGAGCGCTCGGGGGGTTAAAATGCCACACGCAGTTGGACCGGGAGTTCGCGATGGACACTTGTCCTTCCGGACTATTAATTAACGCCTGTAATTTTTTGTCCGCACCGACAAAATTAGTACCGTTGTCGGAATAAATATCACTCGGCAAACCTCGTCGGGCGACGAATCGGTCAAAAGCAGCTAAGAATGCGTCGGTCGTTAAATCTGACACGACTTCAAGGTGTACGGCCTTGACTGAAAAACACACAAAAACCGCAATGTAGATTTTGTAAGTGCGAGACTTGCGGAGTCGAAGCTCACGCATCGTCAAAGGTCCGGCATAATCGATACCGACCCGAGCAAACGGACGACATTGTTGTACCCGCGCCGCGGGCAAATCAGCCATAAATGGCTGGACCGGTTTGGCGGTCAATCTCACACATACTACGCATCGTGACAGAACCTCATGTAAAACTGATCGGACCGACACGACCCAATACTTACGCGAAATAAGAGCCGCCACAACTCGTGGACCCGAATGACCTGTTACCTTATGCCATTTTTCACATAACAATCGTGCAAAATACGATCTTTTAGCCAATAATACCGGATGCTTACAATCGTACGTTAGCGAGGAATGTCGCAGCCGACCCCCCACTCGGATTACAGCGTCCGCATCAATAAAGGGGCACAAACGTGATAACGGTTTCGACGACACACGGACATTATTGGACAATTCGCGTCGTAGATTGGCAAGGTGAATCCGCTGTGATTCTAAAACGAGAACCTGGGTGGCGTGATCAAGCTCCGACTTAGATAGAAATGCGGGTGGACGCGAAGTGGACTTACCGTTACGGCATAATGAAATAAAGCGTATAACGTGCGCCGTCACTCGGACCATTCGATCAAAACACGAAAATACAGTGAACCATTCGACAGGCGCATCATCAGCTCGAACGGCACATACAATTGGTCGCACTTCGGGCAGCTCAGAGATATCACTTGGAGGGGGGGGACATGGTTTCCAATCAGACGGATCAGTGTAGATTATAGGTGGCCCCTGCCAATATAACGAAAATTGAGCTAACTCGGACGGCGTAACGCCCCGCGACGCGCAATCGGCAGGATTTAAAGAGGACTCAACATGATGCCACTGACAATTCGGCAACAAGACTTGGATTTGGTGCACGCGATTCGAGACGTATGTCTTAAAAGAATCGTGGTGAACCGTTAACCACGATAATACTATTGTCGAGTCGGACCATGCGTGAGTGCCGACTATATTTAATAGCGATGTGAGCGCATGGCTCAGACGTCCTAGCCAACGAGCTAATAATATCGCAGCGTTCAACTCGAGTCGTGACACGGTTAATGCCTTTAAGGGAGCTAATTTCGTTTTTGTACCTAATAAAAAAATACAACTATCCGGTGGGGCGTCCAAAATACGCACGTAAACAACAGCTGCGTAACCGCGTTGGGACGCATCGCAAAAACCTAACAGCATACACGGCGCGCCATTACGCGCTTGTATGTATCGTGGAACACGAACGGTGAGTAAAGACGGCAGGTCAGCGACGAAGGCGGCCCACCTTGATTGAATGTCAATTGGTAAGGGAGCATCCCATGACAGCTTCACGTTCCATGTCTGCTGCATAATTGACTTTGCCAAAAACGTGGCCGGCGCGAAAAGTCCCAACGGATCAAATATTCGTGCGACTAATGATAATATACCTCGTTTGGTGTATACCGGCGCGGGGTCTAGACGGAGCGCGCAACAAAATTCGTCTGTCTCGTGATGCCACTCGATTCCTAATACCTTAATACTGAACGCATCGGCCGTGTCAAATGGTAACGGGCCTGACCCACGGCAATCAGCCGGAATGACCCTTAAAATCGAGGCTGTATTCGTCGCCCACTTTTTTAATTCTAGCCCGGATTTACTTAATACTGAAATCAAATTCGATTGAAGTTCAAGCGCCTGGGCTTCAGAATCTGCACCCACACAGATATCATCGACGTACGTTTGATATTTTAACGCATGGGCATGGCGTACTAATAAAAAATTATCGCAGTCATCGGACGCGATTGATTGCAACACGCGCAACGCAAGGAAAGGCGCACAATTAACCCCATACGTCACAGTATTAAGTACGTAATCTTGAAGACGATCGTGTGGGGACTCCCTCCACACTATGTGTTGGTATTTTCTATATTCGGGTAATATCAAAATTTGCCGATACATTTTTACCACGTCGGCGGTGAATGCGTGACGGTGAACTCTAAAACGCGTTAAAATGTCAACGATATCTTGTTGTAGTTTCGGGCCAGGTAATAAGCAATTATTTAATGACGGTCCGCGATAACTCGTCGCGGACGCGTCGAATACGACGCGTAATTTCTTATCTCCGTCGTCGGGACGGTACACTGCATGATGTGGAATATAATACACGCCCGGTGATGAGGTGACCGTCATATGCCCTAGTGATATATACTCGCGCATAAAATCTATATATAATTTGCTAAGGTCCGGGTCGGCCGTCAATTTCCGCTCGAGTGATTCGAAACGCTTAATGGCTATATCACGTGAACCGACGAACATGTTGTCGGACACCGATGATCGGAATGGTAAAGGTACTGAAAAGCGTCCCGAAGGCAATCGAGCACATTGCTC